TAGATGACAGGTCCTGATCAAAAATAACACCAAGATTTTTTACTTTATTATCTGAAATCAGTTTAATCCAAATGAAGTGACTGGCTAATCAGCTTCTTCAGGTCTGATCCAGAACCAACCAGCAGGGTTCTACTGAGACACGGACCAGGACCGGATCCGGAAGCTTCTGACCCGGTCCACAGTTTTAGTCAGCCATCTTGTTAGCAGACAGCTGCATTGATTTGGTTCCTTAAAGCGATGTAGAGCAGATCTAACCCTCCGACTGCTGTTGCCATGGTATCAGGAGGCATCAGGGACACACCTGGCCTTCCTTCCCTTGGCTCCTCCCACTATTCCTACCCCTCTTCCAGGTACCTTCCTCTAGGAAAGGACATCCCCCAGATGTCGAGAAATATTTTCAAGGCAGTCAGAGGACATAGAGGACCAGCAGCTGGACAAGTAGACAGGATGTCCATAGAGACGTTAAACCAGTGGGGGAGGGGGAGGAATAAAGGGTGAGAACCTGTGCTTGAAGTCCTGCAGACAAAGCAGAGAACATGAGTTCCTGCAGGCTCAGTGGATCAGACTACTTCCTGGTTCTCACTTCCCAGGTGAGAGAGCGAGCGAGGCAGGCTGTGTGAGAGAGAGAGAGGGGGGAGGAAGCAGCCTGCAGGCGGGGAGTGGCCCAACCTATAAAAGGCAGCTCATCTTCCTGCTTTTCACATTTCTCTTCTGTCATCTGTTTGCCTCAGACCGGAGACTCTACCTGCACAGGTGAGCAGCGCACACACAGCCAGGGTCAGAGCCCGGGTCGGGGTCAGGCTTCGGGTCACTCCCTCCCTCTAATCACTGCGTCTGCTTCCCCAGGATGTCGTGGAACAGCTACATCGACATGCTGAAGACCCCCGACCAGAGCGGCGTGGTCCCGGTGGCCGAGGCGGCCATCTGTGGCATCGCATCTGGACAGGAGAGCGTGTGGGCCAGCACGCCGGGCCTGGCCAAAACAATCACGGTGAGAGCGCAAAGAACGCCTAGTTTACTTCCTGTTTCCAGGCTTCCTGTAAGAACCTGACTTCCTGCTTCTGTTTATTAGTCTGCGACGGCAGCATCACTATGTTCCCATCCAGGAACCCATTTCTGACCCAAATGCTGCCCTGTGGTGGCGACAGGTGACATCACCTGGCCAGCTGCCTCCTCATTGGCTCTGTGGCCCACCTTCCTCCTCAGGGAGAGAAGTTGATGTTTCTGCAGCTTCTGCTGCTTCTTGCCTCTTGGGCGTTGCTGCTTCCCGCTCTGTCAGCAGAGATGGGGGAGCCCTGAAGATGCGTTCAGGCATGAAGCTGATTGGCTGATTTATTCTGCATGTTGGAGCAGGAACCTAAAGCGATGCTTTAGAACTTCCTGTTCATGCAGACCGACTTCCTGCCGTCTGTGCAGCAGGAACACGGTCAGCGTCCCACTGAAGGCTGCTCCACCACAGCAGCTTTCATCTTCCTGCAGCTTTCTGGCTCCAAACAGGTTCTGGTTCTGTGGTTCTGCTTCCATGCCGGGTGGGGTTAATGCGGCAGGTTCCGGGTTCTTCTGCAGCGTTTCAGGGACTCAGAGGGTTCAGCTGCCTTATAAGGGCATGGCGGTGCAGAGGAGCCAATACAGGAAGCTGAACCACCACTTCTGGTTTCCTCTTCTTCTTCTTCTTCTGCTGTTCTCTGAGCGCTGCTCCGTGTTCAAACCTCACAGCTCCTCCTCCAGCTTCATCCTTCTTCACCGATTTTAATCAGATTTTCCAAAATGGACCAAAAGCCGTGAAGCTGTCCCTGATCTTCCTGGGTGGGTGTGTAGAACGATCTGCCTGCAGGCCTGCCTTCTGATTGGCTGCTGCTCTCAGGAAGTGGCCGTGTCTCTGCAGGCCTCTGGCCTCCTTCTGCACATTCTTGTCCAGACTTGTTCTCCTCACATTCCTTCAGCTTCTTTTTCACCTTGTTTTCCCTCCAGCAGCCATTCGCCATCTTTCTCCATCGTTCTCCATCGTTCTCCATCGTTCTCCAT